TTTTTTTTTTTTTTTTTCTTCTCTCTGTCTTTTCCTTTCACGATAACGTGTACACGTAGCCAACTTGCTCTTCTTCTTTTTCTTCTTCTTTCATCTTTTTAACTCTTTTTTTTTTTTTTTTTTTTTTTCGCCCTCCCCTTTACTGATATTACATTCCTGGCTCGATACATGCGCGCGTTGCATCACACTCGTGCCGGGATTAATAACGACGCCTCGATAACCGAGCTTCGATCGTTAATGAATGTAACGCGATCGACGATCCAGCCGTGTCGATTGTCTCGTCCCGTGAGAATCTTTCTCAGTTCCGTTCTCTCTCCTCTCTTCAATCCTTTCTTATACGAATCGTCGAAATTCCGCGTAAGATTCTTCAGGTCTCTTCCATTGTCCATTATTCCCATGGGTCGTCCATGTTAAATCGGAGATTTATTGCGACCGTCTGTTCACTTTTTTTAATTACACGACGTTTATTAATTGTTCATTAAAGAATTATTATATTATTTATTGACATCTGCTTCAAAATTCGAATTCTATACGACGTCGCAACGATTTGCCAAACGAACGTGCAATCGAGATTCGAGCATTCGCCGTTATATATTGTAAAATATCGAAATTCTCGACTCGTCCAATATCAAGTATTTCTTGTTAGCATAGCTACCAGTTTCCGCGTCGTTCGATTAGAATATCATCGGTGGAACTCGTTTCCGGGTGTTGCAGTTCTCCCCTCGTTCCTTGTTTCACCGGCGATTTCGCGAGTTAGAGGCGCGATGATGCACGATGATCGGTTCGTGGGTCGAAGAGGACGAACAGGAATTCGAAGCAGCCGGCTCGAACTTTCTTTGCCGCCAAACTCCGAATTCTCTTTCGCTACTTTTTCGTTCGATTTTCCTCCGATTTCTTCTACTTTCGTCCATCCAGTGTCGTTGAACCTTCGAATTCGGCAAAGAAAGTATCGCGAGCATCTAACAGCGAGGGCAGAGATCGATTCGAGAATTTCTGTATTTGTCGGCGATTCTGCTCTATAAATACGCCGCTGCTTCTTCACTGTTCCTCGCTTGCGCGCGAATCTTTTTCACCGTTGCCAGAACGATGCATTCTTTCAAGTTTCACCCGTGCTTTTCTAAGGGGGCATTAAAACGTCACGAATACCTTGGAGAGCTAGTAAAAAAAAAGAAGTACATATTTGATTGACACGAGCTTTCGTGGTTTATTTTGTACACATTATGAACGTTATATGAAAAAAGGCAACGTTAAAAGAGAGAAAGAGAGGGCTCTTATTTAAACTTTTTAAACGGCATCCTTTTATATTACATGTTACATATTACATATTATATTATTATATTATTATATTACATTACATTACATTACATTACATTACATTACATTACATTACATTATATTATTATATTATTTACATATTATATTATTATATTACATTACATTACATTACATTACATTACATTACATTATATTATTATATTACATTACATTACATTATATTATTACATTACATTACATTATATTATTATATTACATTACATTATATTATTATATTACATTACATTACATTATATTATTACATTACATTACATTATATTATTATATTACATTACATTATATTATTATATTACATTACATTACATTATATTATTACATTACATTACATTATATTATTATATTACATTACATTACATTACATATTACATATTTTACATATTTTATATTACATAACATTACATTACATTATATTATTATATTACATTACATTACATTACATTACATTACATTATATTATTATATTACATTACATATTACATATTTTACATATTTTATATTACATAACATTATATTATTATATTACATATTACATATTTTATATATTACATAACTTTCTTTTACATTGCCTATCGGTGTGCATGATTCCAGCCAAACAGGATTAGCTGCAACAAAAAGGGCAAAAAAAGTTCAAAAGTAAACAATATTCTTTAGAGATTGACGATCCAACATTTTCAATTCTGTGAAAATTATGAAAACAACAGCCATTTATTTTTGATGTATCGAATTTACACCAAGAATTTCTACGTTTTTTTATTTATATTTTTCGAAATTGTTAAAAATTAAAAAATGTTCGATCGTGAATCCCTAGTAAATGTTACACTAAAGACATGTACCAAGTTTCACAGTAATCGGTTGGTTAGATTCCGGGATATCTTTCACACCGTTTCTAAACACCTAGTTTCGAGAAAAACGCGTTTTAAAGTTTCAGAACGTCATTTTTTCATATGTATCCTCTACTTACTTTTTTTTGTTTTACTTATATATCGCGGCTCACAGTTCCTACAATTCGCAACTAAATTGAATCCAACTCCCCTAATATTCGATTCACCAAAAGTAATACTTGAATCGCACGATTTACACTTTGTAATGCTGCTTAAAGTTGTAAACAGCGATAGAAATTCAATCATTCTGTATCTGATTTATTATTATACTCCGAAATAAGTAAGTCATAAATAAGTCATTTTAAAGGCTAGGACCTTTTGTATCCCATTTCTAAGACTTCAAACTACCATTTAAAAACAGAACAAAAAAACAAAACGAAAGAAGAAAAATCGATTTTTTTGAAAATTTCAAACTGTCCTGACTAGTGTCTTCTTTCACTTTCATTAACTTCTGATCGATAGAAATATCGATAGAAATACCGTAGAAGTTTATCGATGCACATTTTTCCAAAGTTGTATATACGATTTCACGCGATTGTGTGAAATTGTAACGTCCGTCTGTGGGAACACTCTATTGGCTACTCTGTGTTATTTATCCAATTCGCTGTTGTCACCTTCGTACGGTAGCTCATCGTGTATTATTATAGATCGTGAACGATGGTTGGCACGCGATGAAAGGAATTCAGCCATCGGTTGTTGAAGCTCTCAAAAATCGCGACGCTCGAATATTTAGAACAAGGATGTACTTGAGAGCAGATGTGAAGATTTCGCGGCAATTCCGTTCGGTCTCTGCATGGGACAGGAATCTCGGTGCGACGTTAACCCGAGGTTTAGAGTTAACTCGATCATCTAATTACTGTACGAGACCGGGGTTAATTGTCCCGTTAGCCGCAGCCGTCAGTCCCCCCCATCGAGGAGCTCTCTCTAGAGCTCTATTCAATGTTTCTCCTCCGACATCCTCGTCCTTCACTTTCTTTTCTCAGGGATAGCTGTCGCGGTAGCTGGCGTAATAATATTTTCGAAAATAGACGGGCCAGTTGTCCCAGAGTCTGTGGGCGCACGCGGCGCGTCTTTTAAACGTCCCGAAATTGAAATTTACGGGCATACCGTAAGCAAGCAAATAAATAAATAAAAACGTAAATAATAAACGAGTAAATAAGTAAATAAATAAAAACGTAAATAATAAATAAGTAGAAACGTAAATAATAAATAAATAAATAAATAAATAAATGAAGGGAATTGTTGAAATAAATAAATAAAGAGAATTGTAAATAAATAAATAAAAACGTAAATAATAAATAAGTAAAAATAAATAATAAATAAGTAAATAAATAAAGGGAATTGTTGAAATTAATAAATAAAGGGAATTGTAAATAAATAAATAAAAACATAAATAATAAATAAGTAAAAACGTAAATAATAAATAAGTAAATAAATAAATAAAGGGAATTGTTGAAATTAATAAATAAAGGGAATTGTAAATAAATAAAATCGTAAATAAGTAAAAACGTAAATAATAAATAAGTAAATAAATAAATAAATAAAAACGTAAATAATAAATAAGTAAAAACGTAAATAATAAATAAGTAAATAAATAAATAAAGGGAATTGTTAATAAATCGTTCGTGCAAAACTCTTCGTTCCCAGACTCGGTGGATCGGATTTTCACGCGCGGATGGAAAAATCTCTGTTGCAAGCGACAAGTATAAGCTTAGGTTCTCTCTCAGGGTAAATTTTTCATCGTGTTAATTTTCTCTAATTACAACGTAAGACGTCGTACCAACGTCACGCTTGTGTAAATTCAGATTTTTTTCGCGAATTTCGAAACGCGACGAGGCTCCAGCCGGAGAGAGATCCGTGACGCTCGATACTTTGTTTTGGATGTTTTGTCGCCGCAAAGCAAAAATATTCGCGGTCGGGCTATAATTAACGCGTGGATATTCGTGGCGTGTACGAAAATACCCGCGATCACAAACGTTTTGAAAGAATTACGGGGATCGATCGAGTTTCGAGGGGAAAAAGATGTTTGAATAAATAGCGGCATGTACTACGTGGACAAAGGGCAATCTGTTTTCTGGTTGCGTAACCGTACGCGTGGAAATAGTCGATACAATCGCTAGAAGCAGTCTCCATCTCGAGCTTCGTGGGATGTTGGCCCCATTCGTGGTACGCATGTACATATGCACGTGAAAGAATCGCGGCCTTTCGATGTCCCGTTGAAATTTTCGAAGCCCGAAAGAGATCGAAGCATCTTATTCTTCACTCAAACTCGTTTAATCCACCTTACTTCCTGTGATATTCGCAATTTCTTCTCGGTATCGATATCTGCACTTCGTACCTATACTCGAATATACCACTATCTCCAATTATACCCTTATCGATACACTCTCGAACACTGGTATCTTTCGAATATCGGTATTCGCGCGCGCTAATATGCACAGGTACCGATATTCCTGCGATCGCCAAACCACGTATTCCCTTCTCCGATACTTCGGCAATTACTCGATGGTTTCGAGTATCAGCACTCTGCCGACTTTCTAGCTTGACTTGCCTCGTGCATCATTCTAATTCGCGAATAGGATCATTTACCGCTGAAAGCAAGCTGCAGCACCGGTCTGTAGCCGCTCGCTAAAGAGAAGACAGCTCGAAAAATTCACAGTTTGTTGGAGCATCTCATTGGCTAAACTCACCTATATATGAACAATTATGAATTTTTACAATTTTTTTAATATATATATAATATGCATATATGTAGTGACACGTTCAGCTCGTTTCGTTACGTTTTCTACACTTTGATCGGGTAGTGTTGCTGCTCGTCTTTCTTTCTCCCTCTCTCGATTACGCTTCTCTTAGTGTGTACATGGGATTTAATGGTATAGTCATGCGACGTCGACAGCTACGAGCCTCTCTCTCTCTCTTTTTCTCTCTCTATGTTCCGATATATAGCAACATGCATACATATATATACATTTATACACATATATAATATATATAATACACACACACGCGCGCACATATATACACACGTACATACATATATATAAAGAGAGAAAGAGAAGCGGATGGGTATTAGTGGGCAGAGCAAGGCGCGCGCACACACAGAAGAGCGTAACCTTTCCTTGACCCGCATACTGAACGGCTGTGCTGAGGCTCGAACCGTGGGAACACAACTCGACGACTCGTCTCCCCACTCTCCTTCGAATTCTACCTCCTCTCCTGTCTCTCTTGGCTAAGGTTCTTCCTCCCTTCTCCCAACAATTCTCTCCTTTTCCTTCTTCTTCGTCAACCTCCTCTTTTGTCTCTTTCTCACCACCTTTCCACCGCTTCCTCTCCCTTTCTTCTTTTCCTCCTGTTCATTCTATTTCTTCTCTCCTCTCTTTCCATCTTTCTTCCTTCCTTTCTTTCTTTCTCTATTTCTTCCCTCAATGTAAATAGTATATGTATATATATATATAAAAGATGTATTTATACCTGTGTATGTGTGCACACACAGTCCTTCTTCGTCTCTTCAATACCTGCTCTTGTTCTACCTTTTCACCTCTTTGTCCTTCCTACATCGGCGTGTAAAACCCCCATGGACGGCAATGGCTAAGCGACCATATCCTTGTCGTTTCTCTCCCTCTTGTGTCGCGGATCGAGCTCCTTTCTGCATTGCCTTCCTCCTTGCCTTCGTTCTCTTTTTCATCTCCGCGGCCTTTACCCACCTTCGTGTCACGGGGAACTGTGCTCCTTTTTCTGCTCGCGTTCCTCTCCTCCCTTTTGTCTTTCCTCCTCGTCCCGTTTTTCCTCCGCTGGATCTTTCGTCGAACAACCTAAAACCGAACGGTTCGCGTAAATTTCTCGCCACAAGTGCAAGTTTTCCTTTTTGCTCGTGCACAATTAGTTGAATTAGTCGAAAGGAACGAAAGTTTGATCGACGACGAGATACCACCGCGTCGTACCGTGGGAAGTTCGATTAATTTTATCGACGGTAGCAGCATCCCTATTTTTATCACATTCCCTGAAATTACTTCCCCGCGACGATCGATTACTATTTAACGATCGAAGTAATTAAGAGTCTACTAGTCGCCGTTACACTACTTTGCTTGGCGAGTCGTACCTTCGTAGAGAGTCACCCGGTATAAAGCTCGGTTACCTGGAAACGGGGATTCCTCCTCGTCCCATCTCTCCTACCTCTTTATTGCCCGTCCTCCATCGCGTTTCATCATTTTTCATACGCGTTTAACGAGGTCTTTGACATTCGTCTTCGACCGGAGAGTCTATACAGAAGACTATTCCGATCGTCGTTTCCCCAAGCGAGTTATTCCACAATCGTAAGACTCGACGTCGCTTGGCGCGGACCGTAACGAGCGACCAAACCGTGTAAATTCGTCGCTTTCTTTTCTGAACTCGTCGGTGTGATATCATTGGATAGAAATTATCCCAGCTTTACTTAAATATACATTAACGAGGAAATGTTACCAATTTTGGAACAAAAAAAAATGTTCATTCGTTTCTCTTATTCTTCTTCGACAAAAAGTTTCACGATTGATTCGCCGACGATGCACTTTCACGTTCTTGCTTCTCCTAATCTCTCTTCAAAGTTCTCTACCCTTACTTGCCAAGTAAAACTAATATCTTTCGCGGCATTTGCAGAAAACAATCTGCCAATTTAACACGTTTAAGTCGAATCGCGCACGGCACACCGTTTCCTCATCCTCTAAAAAAAAAAAAAAAAAAAAAGTTTCTCCTCTTGCACGCGCGCAGTCGAGTTAAAAGGAAAGCTCCCGTTGGCTGGCTGCGCGTAGCCGCGGTTACTTTCTCCCCGTGTTCGTCGAACATGGAAGAAAAGCAGCAAACCGATGAGCAGAGCTAACGAGCAACGTGCTCTCTTGTCTCGGTTGCAGATGCCACAACGGTTGGAAAGGAGCGTACTGCGACCAGTGCGTGAGATATCCAGGCTGCCTTCACGGTAGCTGTCAGAAGCCCTGGGAGTGCCTCTGCGACGAAGGCTGGGGCGGTTTGTTCTGCAACCAGGACCTCAACTATTGCACGAATCACAAGCCCTGCTTGAACGGCGGCACCTGCTTTAACACCTTTAACGGCCAGGGTTTGTACACCTGCTCGTGCGCGCCAGGCTTCAACGGCACTAACTGCGAGAAGCCGCTTTTGGACTGTGACTCGAATCCCTGTCTCAACGGTGGATCGTGCACCATGGATCCGCCCTACGGCAATTCCAGTCTGGGCAAAAGCTCCGTGGATTCGTCGTCGTCGTCGTCTTCGTCTTCGTCATCCTCGTCGTCCACCAACAGGCAACATTATCGTTGCACCTGTCCACCCGGTTGGCGCGGCCGACACTGCGAGATCAGCTCGAGATCCTGTCGAGATTCTCCCTGCCATCATGGAGCCACCTGCGAGGACGACTCTCTTCACGGCTACGTGTGCCGCTGTTTGCCCGGTTACGCGGGCAACGACTGCGAGTCCCAGCTCGACCAGTGTTCCCCGAATCCATGCTCGAACGGCGGCACCTGTACGGACCTCGGCAACAGCTTCCGGTGCTCTTGCCCGGCCGGTTTCACCGGCGAACGCTGCGAGACGAACATTGACGACTGCCAAGGCGATCCCTGTCTGAACGGTGGGACCTGCGTGGATCTAGTCAATCAGTTTCGTTGCCAGTGCGTGCCGGGATACGTCGGTCGATTGTGTCAAGACAAAGTCGATTATTGCCTGACAAAGCCGTGCGCGAACGGTGGCCGGTGCATATCGGGTACGAACGATTATCGGTGCGCGTGCAAGCCTGGCTTCACCGGCAAAGACTGTAGCGTGGACGTGGACGAGTGTAGAAGCGCGCCTTGCAGGAACGGTGGCACGTGTCTGAACCGAGTGAACGGGTTCCTCTGCCAATGCCCGGAGGGTTGGCACGGTGACACTTGCTCGGAGGAAGTTGGAAGCGGCACGGCCATCTTGCCGGTACCTTCCAACACCGCAGCAGCTGCTGCTGCTGCTGCTGTTCCTGCTGTACCACCATCTGGAGCAAGTTACTGGCCGGGCAATCTGTCCAGGCACGTCGCGTCCGCGTCCGCCGAGCCGAGAGACGCCGGTCTAACCACCGAGCACGTAGTGGTGATAGCAACCCTGTCGACGGCTGTCCCGGCGTTCGTTCTGGTAGCCGCAGTGGCGGTGATGTGCATGAAGAGGCGGCAGAAGAGGGAACAGGCGAAGGCTGACGAAGAGGCCAGGCTGCAAAACGAACGGAACGCTGTTCACAGTAGCATGAGCAAGAGAAGCGGCGGTGTTATGGGGGGAGTGGGTGGTGGAGCTGGTGTCGGCTCCACCGGAAGTACCGGAGTTGGTATCGGTAACGTTGGACTGCTAGGAGGCGGTGGTAGCGGAATGATCAGCGGCGGAGGTGGCGGCAGCGTGTGTACACTTGGCACCGGGGATGCTCACATGATCAAGAACACATGGACGGCGAACAAGAGCGTGAACAACGCCGCGTCTGCCAGACAGGACGACCTCGACTCGTCGTTTCAAACGGACGTCACGCTGGATAGCTCTTGCTCGGGTTACAAGCCAGAACCGGTGCTGCAGGACGGCCGAACGCGGACAACGAAACAACTGAACACGGAGGCGGCCGCGCACAGGGCGTCCCACCTCTTCCAAAAGGAGAAGGACTGTCTGGGTCTTGGTCTCGGCATAGGCGTCGGTGTCGGCGTGATCGAGAGTGCCAAGAGGTCGTCCGTGTTCGCCGGTAACGCGACGACGGACAGCTGTTGCGCGGCGGAGGCGGCGTTGCTCAAGAGGCCGACGACCATCACGGAAGGTGGCAGCGGTCCACCGGGTAGCGGCGGCGGCGGCGGCGGCGGTGGCGGTGGTACCGAGACCGGCTGTGGAGTGTACGTTATAGACGATCACTATAGGCACGACACGTCGTTGGCGGCGACGCTCGCGACAGAAGTGTAGTTTCTCTTTCTCCTTAATCCCAAGTGTCTCCACAACCGTTGTTCTAATACTATATAGAAAAAAAGAAAACGAGCCACGATCGAGCGAGATTACGATGGACTCTTTATGTAATTCGTGAACGAACGAACTGTTTCTTTTTTTCTTTTCTCTCTCTCTCTCTCTCTCTCTCTCTCTCTTTCCTCCGTAATGACCGAAAAAAATAAATAAGCTGTGCGTGCTCCCGCGTGCGACTCACACGCGACAAACCCGAGAAAAGGAACTCTTCCGAGAACTCTTATTTTCTCTCTCTCTCTCTCTCTCTCTCTCTCTCTCTTTCTCTCTTTCTCTCCCCCTCTCTTTGTGTTTTTCACGTTCGTTCGAAGTTGCATACCGTTCCACGCTCTCTCGCAACCACCAACCGACGCGACAGAGGAACACACGCGCACGATGTATATCCCTTTGTGCGTAACGTACGTACGCACGAGCACCACCACGAATGCTACGTAGTCATCAAGCGTGTGGTACACCGCGCTTGGCTCTCCGTTATGGGCCAGCGGGTGAACGGGCGTGCGTTTCTTCGCGATTCCTTTGTTTCTCTCCCTCCCGTTGTGCGGGACGTCGCGCGTGAGAACGTTCCATCGGACTTTGCCGCAACGACGACGACGATGATCATGATGATGATGATGATGATGATGATAATAATGATGATGATGATGATGATGACGACGATGACGATATGACAACAACGATGACGATGATGACGACAATGGTTGGCGGCGACGGTATCATTGGTTGCTGCCACCAAGGCTGTTGTTGGTGTTGTTGTTCTGATGGCAAGAAAGAGGTTGACTCGCGCGCGGACGTTCCGCCGGATGATCACGCGCGGGACGATCCTCGTCAACGTTGATGACGACGAGGAGACTTTGAGTCCTTGAACAGAAAGAAAAACGAAAGATGAAGAAGACGATGAAGACCCAGGAGGAAGAGACTTTAGCGAGACGAGTTGGACAGCAGGGGAGCAAAATGAAATATACATACATATATATATACATACATATATATATTTATATATATACATATATATAAAGTATATGTAATATATGTGTATATATATACATATATACGAAATGCTGTGGAGGCGGACGATGCCGAATGTCGTCCGACCCGTTCTTAGGTATTAATATTATATATCATGTTCGAAGCGAAACTTTGTACAGAACTAATTTATTATTATTGTTATTTACTATTATTACTATTTACTATTATTATTATTAATATTATTATTCTAATTATTATTATTATTAATATTATTCTATCGTATCCCATTATCATTGTTCCGATAGTTCTCCATTACTTCTATTTTTCTCTCTCTCTCTCTCTCTCTCACTCTCTCTCATACACATACACACACACACACAAATAGTCTCTATCTTTTCCGTTTTTCTTTTTTTTTCTTTTTTTTTTTTTTTTTTT